ATTCAAAAATGATTTTTAATTTGTAATATCTCAGTGGCGTACCATTTTTTTCTTTAAACAATTGAGATTATTACCCGTACGCGCGCCAATGATGAACATAAAATTCTTAATTGCGTGTCAAAAAATGCGCAATAACTACCTCTTAAAACCCACCAAATTTCATTTGCACATCTCGACCGGTTTCAGAGCAATAAATTAAATCGTCAGTTTTTAAGAAAAACTTTAACACCCCGTATCTCGGAAAACGAATCATTTGCAGACATACGTTTATAAGCAAACTGCCATTATTTTCTCATGTAGAATCACCCCCTGAAATTTGTCGCACTTATTTACTAACACCCTGTATAAATATTAGTTTTTGTAAGTAACAAATCAGTAACCCATCTTTACGAAAACAGTTTCCTAAATCGATTTATTTTCTCGGCCCATCCGTTGAAGGACGCCCTGTACACGACAGTCAGAATCGAGCCCACGGATGTGCGCTGAGCAGTCGCGAGTGGCGGCCACTCTTCGCGTACCCTAGACCGTCGATACACCCATCGCCATACCATCACCACCGGGTGCCTCCACATCACCTTCATCTAGTTTGGAGTCGGAGCGGTTGTCCAGCGACCTGAGCCAGTGCCCCGCGTAGTCTCACGTATAGTGCAACGAGAAAAAGTCCGCGAATTAGTCAAGGTATCGATTTGCGTAGCCCCGATTTTCATGCACATGATACGGTAGTTAGAGATTCAACGACAGGTGAGTTAGGAATTGTTATTTTGCAACTAGAATAACACAGTTATGTGCTGTTTAAAACTAGTTTGATTTAAAACTTGTTTTATTAAACACTTTTATAGTAGCAAGCACGGTTTTGTTTCACTCATAACCCAATCGCATTGGAAAGTGATTTTTTGAACGACGAAAATGGTGATTACATTTTTGATACAAATTTTGACATGATTGTGAGAATGATTCTCAAAAATATAAAAAAATACGTAGGTATGTGTCAAAAAAGCGTTCGTAGACAAGAAAATGAAAAATTTAGATAAAATTTTGAAATATTTAAAGCCAGTGTCAAACTATCAAGTTCCCGTCAAAGCTCGATTAATTTTGCTGACTATTTCGATTAAACTGAAATTAAAAATAAATTTTTCAAAATATTAGATGAACGCGTCATAAAATTTTCTAGCTTTTATAGGTAGAAACCGCTATTTTTTTTTACGGCAGTAGTTTTTCAAAAAAAAATAATAACACAGGGAAATTGAACTTGAACAAGGTTGATTTGCAATAACAATAACAAGTAAACTTAAAAAAATAACATGGTTTAACATTGTTATAGAAGGAATAAATAAAAAAATAATATTCGTATTTTAAACTTATGTAGATGCGTTATTATTTTTGTAGGTATATCAACTTTGTCCAGATTTAGTTTTTGCATATGTGCTAATATATTAATTAAAATATTTTTGAAAAATTGTAATTCCAGTAATTAAAATAATACCTAGATTTCTGGTATCGAAGAATTGTTTGACTTTATCTGATTAGGTTTAAAAAAATTATGATTTCGTATAAATGAGCCTAATACCTTTAAAATAAGCGTAAAAATTGCGAAACTAATGATAAAACATACAGGGTGTTTCACATAAGAACCGACACAGAACAGGGGCATGTAGAGCTGCACCCTTGAAAAGTTATAGACCCTAAAAGTGAGAGAAAAATCGTATAAAAGTTGTAGCATAAAATTCTACATAAAAATGATCCCTTGACTCTTTCTTGTACTATTAAAATTGACAGAGTTAGGGAAACTAGAAGTTAAGGAATGATTTCAGAAATTTAAAAAATCGTAACAAGCAGAAAAATGAATGAATTTTATATACAGGGTGGGCCATTAGTGTGAGAAAGTACAATAACTCCCTTGTTAAATACTCTGTAATAATACAGAAAAAAAGCTTATATAAAAGTTGTACAGAATCAAAAAACCTAAACCACAAAATTAATTTGAAAACATACAGGGCGATGAGTAAAAACGGGACACGTCAAATATTACATTTTTTAAATGGAACACTGTTATTTTTAATATGGATCTCTGAGAAAATTCTATATACGACTATAAAAACAGTTTAACACTTTAGTGCGGTGTTGCCAAGTTATGTAAAAAATTCCTCGAATTTTAGAAAAAACATACTTCGAAGAAGTTGTATTAACTTTCAACTACTAACACTTACAGCAAAAATATTTGACAGAGTTATAGGCAAATGTTAGACAAAGCTCCTATATTATGTAATACCTAGCGGTATTTTATATGTAACATTTTTTATAATACTAATAATATATATAATAGAAAGTTAACACTTGATTTTCTAAAATTTTTCAAATTGTATTTTATTGTTCTATTTTATTCACATTATTTATTATTTAATAAATAAACTGTATTGTTATATTCTATTAAGGTTTTTTTATAAACAGATATGTTGTATAATTCAAAATTAGTTTATAGAATACCAACTAATGAATATTAACTAATTAAATGAACTCAAAATGGAATGATAAATTATGAACTGAGAGGTTGACATAATGTGACAGTTTTTTCCAAAGCCATCTCGTGCGGCTGAAAATAATAAAAATTAAGTTTTTTCAGAAATGTTTCTATATCTTAAAAACCAACAATTTTAGGTGTATAACATGCTTAATAAAAGTTAAAATGGACCGATATATGAATAAAATAGAACAATAAAATATAGGGTGTCATTTCAAAAATTGTAGAAAATCAAGTTTGAACTTTCTAAAAATGATTGTATTATAAAAAATGCCCTGTATAAAATATCGATATTAGCTAATATAGGAGCCTTTGTCTAACATTTACCTATAACTCTGTTAAATATTTTTGCTCTAAGTGTTAGTAGTTGAAAGTTAATACAACTTCTTCGAAGTCATGTTTTTTTCAAAATTCGAAGAATTTTCTACAAAACTTGGCAACCCCGTACTAAAATGTTAAAATATTTGGCGTGTCCCGTTTTTACTAATCGCCCAGTATGTTTCAAATAAATTTTGCAATTTAGGTTTCTTGATTCTATGCAACTTTTATATAAACTTTTTTTTGTATTATCAGTAACAAGGGACTTGCTGTACTTTCTCACACTAATTGCCCACCCTGTATATATTTTTTCAATCTATTTTAAAAAATGTAAACTATCTTTCCAGAGAAATAGACATATTTTTTAATTTTAAGTAAAAAAGTTATAACAATTTCATAAAGCGGACGTGATTTTTTATCTTGGTTGTAAAACAAAATATCAAAAGCAGCTTTTCATTATTTTAAATAATCAATAGAATGGCATAGGAAAACATTTTTTTTATTGTTAAATTATATAAGTTATCAGTGAAAATCATATGCCATTTCTGTTGTTTAAGTTGTTTGTTTTTTTCTATTAAATTATTCTTATTCCAACTTTTTTCCTGATCGTCAAAGTTTTAGAATTAAATTCCCCATAAAACAAAGTATGTAATAATTTTTTAAGTACGAGAACGGGTTAAAAAATACTGTCACATTTTAATGGTGCATCATCCCTTATCAACCCTTTATTTTGTAAAAAAAAACGGGGCTTGAAGTTCAACCACCCGGAACCAAATATTATACAGTGACTTAAAAATTCGCTTAACGTATAATCACATCGTAATGTAAACCAGCAGTTTCAAACCGTTGTCGGCACTGATCTTTTTCAGACATTTTCCATGACCTTGGACGGACAAGCGCTGGTCAGGGCCGTAACAAGAATTATTTACTTGTACAGATATTAAAATAGATAATATTCGTGATAAACGTATAATTTAATTACTATTTCTCTATCTTTTTCTAATCATTAGATAGTTTATTCGTTATGACTTCCGCTCATCTGAACTTACTGGTTCGCATATGCTGAGGTATAATTATTCGAAACGTTTTATTCGCAACCTCTGATAAAACCAAATTCTAATCGATGTTCAAGGATGATTGTGAATATTAAAATGATTTAAAGGATAATCCCCTTAATTGTTAATAAAGTACAATAGAGAGGCTTACTATTATTACCTAACACTTGAATATAGGAGTTGCATCAATTAATTTACCATTACGGTAATGGCTGGTTTTCCCAAATGCATTTGATATAAACAACGACATTTAAATCATTATTACGGGTGCAATTTTGACGACGTTTTTTTCGTAAAGGCACAATAGTCCAACAGAGCAAGAAAAAATAGTCCTAGAAACATTTTATATTTCCATATTTCACGTATTTTTTATAAATTATAATGGAATATAATGTTAACAGGTTTTTACATTTAAAGAACGACTCATAAACAACTTTTAACCTCTAAACGAGAAATTTTCATTCTTGGAGAAATTATTCAACTTTCTCTTTCTACCACAATAAATATTAATGTATACCTTGAAGAGTAACAAAACATCATTTCATTACTGGGTGATTTAATAAAACAGCGGTGGAAGTGTATCCAAAATTAATAGAGGTCTACTTTGCCCACGGATGTGGGTAGAAGTTCTCCAAAATCGATCACATCAGAAGCTATCTAAACTTGTTTGGAACCGTTTCAAGGTAAATGTCAATCAACATGTAGAAAACAACATAAATTCAGGCGATATTTAAAATAAGGAGAAATGTCATAATAAAGTAATATTTTACTTAAATTATTGACTGGCGCGGCGGGAGATTATGGGGCGCCTCCCCCCCAGAAATTTTCATAGTAAAAAAAAAATAATTTAAAATTTAGTTTACGATGTTGTCTAAATAATTAAATATAAAATTAGCCTTATAGACCAGGGGGAATCTGTTTTGAGGTGGATGTGAGAGAGGGCAAGCAAATTTTTCTGGATTACCTTCAATACAACTCGCATAATAAAAATGTAGATCCCTAGATCTGGGCGAGATCCGGAACATTTTAAAAATTACAAAAATGTTTAAAGAATTTTAAAAAACTATTTTATCTGAGTTTTTTACTTATATCTTGGAACCTATGCATTTTGGAAAAAAATTGAAGAGGAAAAAAGTTTTAGAATTGAATTTTGCACAATATACTGTAAGTTAAAAATGTTTAAATTTATTACCGATGCTACAAACAAGCAATAATTGATGAAAAAAAGACAAAATAATCAAGTTTTTTGGATAATTTAAAAAATATATTTTAACTGCTCCAAGGGCATTCTAATTTCGGTAAAAAAAACTTTAGAGGATAATAAAACAACACACCAAATTTCATTAAAATCGGTTTTATAGTTTTGGCAAAATAATTTTTTGAAATTAAAAAAAAAAATCGAATATTCAAATTGTTGCACAGCCTCAAATAAAGCATCTAGTAACTTGAAAATTTTTTCACATAGAAAAGACCGCTCGACCTTTCAAAGGGTTTTTGAAAAATTGAAATCGCTTGATTAGGACGGTCACAATAAATATTTAAACACCTTTTTTTTATATATAAAGAATTAAATTATATTTATCAATTTGCAATTTAGTTTTTTTTTAAATTATAATTTTAAAGTACTATTTTTTCTTAATTTTGTTTGTATTATATGTATTTAACAAAAAAACTAATTTCTAAATAAACATTTTTTTTTAATTTATTTAAACAAAATTTTTTTAAATAATTGTGATAATTATAACTAAATATGTATATTCGTATTCAGTGTTGAAATATATACGTAAACAAATTTTTTTATTGAAAAAATGCAATAGCATAGGGTAAAAATACAGTATATTTAATAAATA